AAACCATTTATCGAGATTATTCAAGGTACACATTGGAATGGTACTAAAGGAAGATTGAACCTAATCTGATATGGTGACAGTATTTGGACTTGTTAAATATAAACTTTTGTTTAAGTGATTTATCATTTGAGAATTAATGATTAATTTTATTACACTCGATTGAGGTTAATGATGATGGTAATCTGTAGACTTTCACGTACTATTCAATTCGCTGAATTATTCTATTCAGGACATAAGTCTCTGGTTTCTTTTTCATCTAAATAGTCAAAAACTAAATTGGGATATAAGTAGAATAAGTTTTCATAAAGGATTCTATTATCACATTGATTTATGTATTAGAAATACAGTAATAACAATAAAACAGTAAATGGTTGATGCGAACAAAACGATGAACCATGATTTACTATTAAGCATAAGGATTGTTTATAATCAGTCATGAATTTCAATCAAATCATGCATCGATCTAAGTTTGAATATAGGAATATGTTGAATTTGACGACATGGTAGTTCAGTTTGTAAGAGTACTACATTTAAAACAAATGGGTATTGAATCCAAGTTTTAGTGCAATCATTTCTAACAGAATGGAGTTCTATGTATTAGGCGAGCGCAAAATTGAATGAGACCAATGGAATTCGGTCATTTCATGCACTATAAACTGGTATTAACTGACACAATATACTACATACATACATATATACATCACTTTAAATATGTTACACTAAATGTCTCAAAGACCGTTGCTCATCAATAATTATGAGGGCGAATGTATCCATAAGATTTATCGTTAATGTTGGTGAGAATGAGACTTTTTCGAGAACTGACAACAGATTTGGTTGGTATTTTACTGTACTGACTTGGATGAATGTCACATATCAAATTTGAATTTTCAAATGAACTCATGTATTTGAAAAGTTTTGAAGGTGAATTCATTTCTCATATTCAGTTTCTATACAATTCAGTAGAGTCATCAAGTGTTCACATTGACAGTAACGAAGACAATAGTTTACGAAAGGATACTTTTAAGTGAGATTATATTCATATCTGTGGAACAATCAATCCACAAGACATGAGGTCACAAATTGATTACAACTAACCTATGCCAAAAATGAATATGAATAGCATTTTACTATCAGATAACTTCCCTTCTGTTATCATTCATTGAATTGCAAAAAGCATTTCAATAAATAGGCTTTCAAAAGTTTCGAATTCAAGAATACGATAACTTTTCATTTGTCATTGAAATAGCTTACATCGGATTCAGTGATCACAAAGCACGGTATGTGTTGTCTTGATATTGAAATAAGACGAGGAAATAGTTTACTTACCTTTTTTGTACTACTTTTTATCTAATTATCTTCTAAATGTCTCGTATTTCCAATGATGTAAATGTAAAATGTATTGCAGAATCAATCAGTCTTCAAGCTATAAATCTATACATTTGAGTGATAAAAACAAAACAATTTAATGTAGCAACATATTTACTTCAAACTGAAATTCATTAACGTGAACTTAAGTATAATGTAGGGATGAAAAGCTGCCTTCTGTTTTAGATGCCTAAAAAAGACCTAGAACATGGTAACAGGTGAAACTACAGATGATTTTTGGTTGTTTTGAAAAGTCCAATAAAGAAACTTGCATTTCTGAATTGGTCTAACTTGCTAGTTAGCAATTTATTTGCCTTGGTCTTCACGATAACATAGTGCTAACTTGTGATGAATACTACCAACGAGATTGCTCGTTAGTAATGTGTGGTGCAAAATTAATGTGTGAATTGTTGCAGATGACTAAAAGAGAGAAGATTCTCAGCAAGTCAAATAGCACGGCTTTCGCAAAACACTGAAATGCCAAAAGTGATGGCTTAGCACTAACTATATTACAGAACAAATCGTGAGATGTAGAAGGATGATTGAAGGCTTTTTGTACATAATACACAAATATCGTCAAATAGCCAGTACAGAGTGACCTTTTGGGACAATATTTAAAAGATCTTTCATTGTGTAATTTGCCGAATTATTTAGAGTGAAAATACTTTATCAATAAAGAAGATAATTATTACATTCTACGATTAAATATTTCAACGTATCAACCATATTCGTTGCCGTGAGTTCAATGACAGGTGTAACATATTAGATAATATATTATCATTTATAGAGAATCAAAAGTACACTATTACTTCAATTCTCATATAATTGAGTAGTATGGAAACGACACTGCATTAGTGGTAGTAAAATATTGAACTCCCTTTATTTATTAGTTTATACTAAAGAAACATGGACCAAATACATTCATTAGTTTAGTCCATTGAAAAATCTTAATACACAAATATGTCAAAGAATGGAAAGCATCTCGAAACATATTGAAACAAAACTCATTTATATATGACATGTTTTGAAGGTAGGTATGTTTTAATTACTTATTTAATTCGTTTGATGACTATTGTGTATTATTAAAGATTCCCATTGTGAAAATTAGAACAACATATATAAGCGAGCAATTGTTTTCAATTAGATCGTCATCAGGCTTTACTCTAATGTCCTTCGTTTGAGTAGACATCGCTGGTCGACAAGAGAAGGTCAACGCAAGATTGGCTGCGTAGAATGTCCTGGTGATTACTTTGGTTAACCTATATTTCAGAGTGTCACTAGCCACATCCTCGTTGAATTGCACTTTCATGTATAAAGGTTTCTTACGAACAGTCGAAATCTCCGACTTCTTTATTATATCCTGCATGTACTTCTTAATGAACGCGCTGGGGTAGCCGATCTCGGTCAGTGAGTTGTTGATAAATTCAAGCTCCTGACTTAGAGTGTCTACTGTACAGATCTTCTTTGCTCTGCTTGTGAGACATCTGAACAAATTTCTCTTGTAACGGATGGGTGTGAAACTGCAGAAGTGAGTATATTGGCATGAAGAGGGGTTTCTTCTATACACGCTTCTACTTAATGTGCCGTCACTTCGTCTACTTAGTGTGGCGTCAAGGACGTTCAGCTCCTTATCATGCTCGCTTTCACTAGTGAAAGTGATCGCTGGGTGAACAGCGATCCATCAGTGTTACGTTGGTGAACAAATATCCTACACCAATGAGATCATATTTTTCATACTAACATTTATATTTTCTACTTTGGAGGTGAAGTTGAAGACATCTTTTACACTATTTCTAACAACTGATTTGTGTAAAGTGTTTAAGATTCGTACTAGCACTTTGCGATTTTTTGGTAAGGTGAATTGTACATTTCTAGAACTGGGCGTAGAGGAAGACCCGATTTATGTACTTTAGGCAAACCATACAGTCGTGGTGTATATGATCCAATCGGCCTAATTGAATCGTGAATCTCGGTCGTAATTATTCCCTTTTTCTTTAGATCTTTAAGGAAATTGGTCAATTATCTTTCTACTTTATTATTGATGTCACAATTACTAGTAATTTTCTGAAATTTGCTAGAATCGCTAAGCATTGTTTCCATTTTTCCAATATAATCATTTTTTTAAATGAGAACTATACCTCCTCCTTTATCTGGTTTGGTTATAGTCAAGGTTTCATCTTTTCTTAGTTTCATTAAAAAGTCTCGGTTCTGCTTGGTTAGTAGGTGATTTTTGGTACCCTTACTATTCTTGTATTGCTGGTCAGTTGTCTCACGAGCAGAGCAAAAAACATCTGTACAGTAGACATTCTAAGTCAGGAGCTTGAATTTATCAACAACTCACTGACTGAGATCGGCTTCATTATATTCATCGATTAGTGGACTGGTTGAAGTTAGACATTAACACCGTTGGATGCCGGCTCAGCGGTCTAATGGTTAAGTGCTCGCGCGCGAAACCAGTAGGTCCTGGTTTAGAATCTCGCAGAGGGCGAGGTCATGGATGCGCACTGCTGAGGAACCCGGTACTAGGACGAGACGGCCGTCTAGTGCTTCCAGGTTTTCCATGGTAGTCTAACTTTCATTGACTCATGTTTTCAACTATTGAAATTATTTAAGTATTAAAATGTATTTTATGGAATAACTTAAGTATTTAATCTTACTTATTCTATGAATGAGATGATGAATTCAGGGAATAATAATGTCAAATGTGTATAAAGTTATATTGGATATCATGTTGGAAGTGTTTAGAGTGTTTGACCGTACAATATGAAAGATCATTATTTGATAATAAAGAGGTAAGTTTATGATGAAATGGATTTATGTGGAGAATTACAAGAAACTAAAAGAAGCTGAATAGTTGACTCATCATTGTCTGAAATTCTTCAGTGGAATACAACGGTGTAGTGAAGGAGAACATAGGTGAGGACACTCGAATTGTATTTAGCACACAAATTACAGAGTTACTTGATAAAATAGAAAAATTTTATAGTAAATTGTTAATCTGCAAAATATTAATGCATCATAACAACCTGGACTGTTCCTGTTGTAAACATCAATCCATTGTCTCACATTTTATTGTTCATGCGTTTCCTTACAAATTGCATTGTGTTGTCGCTTTCTTTCTTGTTCTTCCCCCATTTTCTGCTGCCAGACATTACGTTCTTTTAACTCGCGTAATATACTACTTACATCGATATAAGTAGCACGCACCACAACGATTTGTATTTTTACTTTCAGCTTAATACAAAATTTATTCATCTCATTGAAATATTATTGTGATATTTCAAATACCACTGTCAACCTTATAGATTGAAAAGAGAAAGAATTTTAATGATATGATGTTTGCAATAAGCTAACAATCAAAGTTCCAATTCCAACTATTAGTGTTTGAAATCATTAAAACTTATCAAGGAAACATCTACTTCACCGTACAACATTCAGGAACAGTCTTTTGTCTCGTGAAATTACCTCCGTATTTTATTAGTTGGTGATTTAATTTCACTTATTTTTACTACAACTAGAACTGTAGTATAACATTTAGTGCTTGCCTCAAAAGTACTTACTACTTTATTCGTTTTATGATTATTGGTCAAATACCAATGAAAAGCATTCACAAGTTTACAACATACACAATCTTAATGTCATCATTATCATCATCACCATCATCATCATCATCATCATCATCATCATCATCATCATCATCATCATCATCATCATCATCATCATCATCATCATCATCATCATCATCATCATCATCATCATCATCATCATCATCATCATCATCATCATCATCATCATCATCATCATCATCATCATCATCATCATCATCATCATCATCATCATCATCATCATCATCATCATCATCATCATCATCATCATCATCATCATCATCATCATCATCATCATCATCATCATCATCATCATCATCATCATCATCATCATCATCATCATCATCATCATCATCATCATCATCATCATCATCATCATCATCATCATCATCATCATCATCATCATCATCATCATCATCATCATCATCATCATCATCATCATCATCATCATCATCATCATCATCATCATCATCATCATCATCATCATCATCATCATCATCATCATCATCATCATCATCATCATCATCATCATCATCATCATCATCATCATCATCATCATCATCATCATCATCATCATCATCATCATCATCATCATCATCATCATCATCATCATCATCATCATCATCATCATCATCATCATCATCATCATCATCATCATCATCATCATCATCATCATCATCATCATCATCATCATCATCATCATCATCATCATCATCATCATCATCATCATCATCATCATCATCATCATCATCATCATCATCATCATCATCATCATCATCATCATCATCATCATCATCATCATCATCATCATCATCATCATCATCATCATCATCATCATCATCATCATCATCATCATCATCATCATCATCATCATCATCATCATCATCATCATCATCATCATCATCATCATCATCATTATCACCATCATGAAATCATGGAATCAAACCTTCAGTCTTCAAATATAAATCTTATTTGTGTAGAGCATCCGTTACTGTATTTGAAATGTAAGATTGAAATGGTTCACAAACTTTCTAGTTATTTCCGGTTGGTCATGTTGGAGTTCCGGTCATATGTTAAACTGATATGGATCTTGAGATATTAAACCATTTTACGCTTAGTTTTTATTTGCTATGAGACAGAAGCATCAGGACTTATAAATTAACCTTTTCCGAATTTATATAAAGTTTCTGGATTAGTACAGATTTACGAGTGTCTCCTACAGAAGTGCATCGTTTCAACACTATATCAATCCATAAATATACGGCAATGTGATCAAAATAGTTTGTCTGTTCGTTATTTTTTGGCAACAGTTCTGGAACACTGAATATGGTTTTCAAAATAGAAAAGAAATATTCACTAGCACATGATGAATATTCAAGTATATTTTTCAAAAAGATTAGCTTTCTTCGACTCAAATTATTCACTCGTTCCTGGTGTAGATCCAGTTTTGCATATACACTTTTCATACTATTCTGGATCTATGTAAGTAAATTCACAGGAAATATATGTATATAATTATATATTTATTATGTTGGGGAAACTCTAGGATAAATCATGCAGTGTTAACACACATGTCCTCACAATCAAAACTAGCAACTACATCTAACCTTTGTGTAACTGCTTATGCAATTCAGAGCACATATATAAGACCGATAATATTATCTTTCGTCAAAAATAGGAATTTAATAGATAAAACATAATTCATATGGTTATTTAAAAAATCCCAAGAAACTATTACTTAGTGTACTGGTTTTGTATATCTAAAGCAAAAGTTAAAGGAGTAAAGCTTCAATAGTTATTATATGTGATGAAATTTTGTCTCTGAGAGATGCTTATCAAATGAATCTTAAATGGTATAGCATGATATAAAAGGAATTCAACTAGAAATCATTGTTCATCCCACATTTCTCTCTCTGAGCAACTGAATAAATAGCTGTTCATAGCTTTCAAGCTATAGTGATATGTAGTTACTCTGAGTGACGCCAGCTTTTCCGATAAATACAGAGCTTTGGATAATTACGGTTGAATAAATCGAATATATACAGTCAAGGACGGAATATTTCTATTGTAATGATCTGCTAGTCATGTTATGTTCATACTTATCACATTTAGTAGCCTAGTTCACGTGTTTACTAGACGAAAAAAGTAATCTTATTCTCAAGGACAATGTATTGGCTAGTTAATAAAGCGCTGAAATAATGTTTAATTATAAATTAAAGCATCGTGATGTATGTGCGCTTATACACATTACTGACACAATTGTAAGTTGGTCAATGCTGACTTAAGTTTACACAGGGGTTTAATCCATCTACCTAAATTATTAATTTTCCATGTATTATAGGTCTTGGTAATATTGGCGTAATGTAGTTTCATATTTCTGATAAGTGCCAATTTAAAATAGGGTAGTGTTGTAATTTGCTATTTTTTATTCGGTTCAGGGAAATTGCTAAGTAAAAATGACTAAACAACTATTCTAATACGAACAAAATGCATTTTGAAAGCGATAGTACGGTCAATGATATACATAAAGCAAGAATAGTTATTTCCAAACAATGGAATCCTAGAAGACGATAGAAGTACAGCAAAAAAAACTTGATATTGAATGGAAACGAGAAATGAAATAGAATGACATTGTATGCATAACAACAAACATGAACTTAGGATATAGGAAAAAATGTAAACTAAAAACAATGGGACAACGACAGTCATGAGAAATACGACCTACGAAAAAATGTTTTCAAGGTTATAAATACAGTGGAGAAACTAACTAAAGAACTTGAGGTCTTCGTGCCAGGTGCACAGAACTTTATTTAGACTCAACATAAACAACATACACAAAACTTGTATTTGTTTTGTTGAAAAATATTCAGGACGAATAGTCTTGCTATTTCATATTAAATGTATCACATGTGTTTATTAAGGGACATTTGCTAAGTGATTAACCCACTAGGTTAGTTCATAGTATATGAGTAATTGTCTAGAAATGAATGTAGACGATTTGACCAGCAAACTGTTAAGTAGAATTCTGATTTCCCAACGTAATTTTCTTTGATTGTTTTTAAAAACAAATAGTTACTATTTACTCAAAGGATTTGTAAAAACGATGTATTACTATACTGATCAATTCAGTCTACGTGAAAAGTGTACTTCAATAAAGTAGGAAGAATACAATCATAATAATGAGTGAATTGATATATATCATCATTGAGTGAACCAATGAATATGAATATGCAACGTTCATATCACAATGAAATACAACGAAGTCAACCAATATGTAGCAAAATAGAAAATTCACAATTTGAATAACAATATATCTGAACAATCTATAGAAAATTGTAAGCAAAGATGGATAGTGGCTAGCAGTGGAATCCAGGACGCGCGTTTCGTCCTGTTTGGGACTCGTCAGCTGGATGTACCTGCATCTCACAGTTGATGTTCACCCTGGGACTCGAACTCAGTACCGTTCTCTTCAAACGCCATCGCGTTATCCACTTAGCCACTGAGTCCTGATAGCCACTTGCTTGTGCAATAGAAACAGTATTTATTCAATAGTTTCATCTCTTAAAGATAAATCAGATATATCTATACTACTAACAAATCAATTTAATGCTCCATCTTCAGTTCAATCAACTACAGGAATAAATGATATTTATACTGTTTCACCATTACTTTCCAATTCCATTCTATGGTTATCTCATTTAATGAAAAATAGTCAACTATCAATGCCTCTTTCAATAAAATTTGTCATATGATCAAATACATAGTTTACATGTTAATCATTTCACAGAGGTAAATGACAAATTTTATTTGGCATTTAGATTCTAATAAGTAGTAAAAGAGTAACAAAATGTGATAAGTATGGTATTACGTTTTCAAATGATGGTTTTCAACCATTTTCTAATAGGGCATTTGATCCGACAATGATTAAACAACAATCTACACAATCAGATCTTGCAGTCCAACATTTAAATTTAAGTGAATAAAGCATATATGACCGTATGGATGCATATAGATTACCCAAATCTGACTCAATTTCAGAACAAGTTTTAACTGATGGAATAAATGAATTGACCTCAAACGTTTGTGATATTAAACGTGTCAGTCATAATGGATTGGATTGGATTGTTTGTGGGGACAACAGCAGTGGAAAACATTATTGTATTTTAGTATGTAATGGTTGTTGTGATTATTTTAAATGATCTGTCAGGCGTAAACTTATCTACAGGTATAAATATTTTCAAAGAAATGAGTTTTATGTTTGTCTTTTTCAGCTGAATGTCCATAAACCATATCCATGAAACTTCATTTATAACACTCATTCTTATGATCTCTTTACCTATCAAGGTACCATTCAGTCAATTTATACAGGTTTTATACGATAATCATTATTATTAATTCTATAATATTTTCACAATTGAATTTACGAATTGATTTGTGCTAGATCACCAATGAAAGCCTGAAAGCATTGGATAGCCGTTTTGTACTAGCATGAGACTCATCAGCACTGCACATCCACGATCCATCACGTGAGACTCGATCTCGGGACTCTCGATCTCACGCACGAGCGTTTGATCTCTAGACCACTAAGCCGACATCCAACGGTATTAAGATGTGTTTTCTGGAGTTCTAGTGTGGTGCCGTGACCAGTGGAGTCCAATCCGTGTCAGGCAGAGACAAGTCCTGAGTCCGAGTCTCGTGTTAGGGATCGTAGATCAGACAGCTAAGGGATCTCATACTAGTGTGAAACAGTAGACCGGTGCTTCCAGGTTTTCAATTTTGATCTATCTTAGATTGATTCGTGAATTAAATTGTGAAATCAGTGCAATCTCTACGAAACCCCATACTGATAATTCTATAATAGTTGAAGAATTCATTTTAGAATACCCAGCCAATCTACTGTATCTTCGATGCTCAAAACCTACTAAATTTATGGGGTTTTCTTTCAGCATTTCTTGAAAATTTAGAATAATAATGAATTGGTCTTGTGCCAATTAACCTAATGACATTTTCGTTGTTGCCATAGTTATAATACAACATCAGCATTCCAAATCTCTATTCAGAATAAACAGAACTATTATTGAGAAGGAAATTTAAAATCGCTATATTTTGTGGTGTATATTCATTGTGTGGATTAATAAGTTATTACCTGAACTAGTTTGTTATATCAAGTGAACGATAGTTTTCATTATTTCAGCCACTCAGAATGAACGCCAACCAAGAAAGAGTTCACACTTTACCGCTCAAGGTAATTCAGCACCACCTAAGCGTCAAGCACTAGAGATATCACATTCGCCAAATGACAAATCATTTACTTCAGAATCTGCTAATAGCGAACTGATGAACAATAAGTCGTTTGGCGAATCAATTAGCGTAGCTAAAGGATAGTTCAAACCATAGCGCTTCTTCTGACTATACATCACTCAATGAAAACAATCTATCGGAAGGCGTTAAAACTTTAAAAACATTTTTTGCAAGCGAATCAGGGTGGATTCAAAAACACCGTTCAAGCATTCAATGAACCGAAATTTGTTGACACAACTAAACTCCACCATAATCTAATGGGAAACAATTTAACTTTATACTTTACTAATGCTCAACCAAATACAATTTCGTCCACCACTGAAAACTCAAACAACTTTTGCTTCATCCCACCTGTCTCGGTAATAAACGATACGACTAATGATCATCCATTTTATATGAACCAGTTTCAAACAATTAGTTTATCGAAATCAGAGCCAACGAACACAACCTCAGATAACTTGGACCATAGAGCCCCTAGAGCTTCATCGTTTTCTTATTCAGATGTAAAAATGCAAAAGATTTATTTACATTTATCAAATATTTTCAATTTATCTAATAACCTCGAAGTGACAAATGGAGAAATCCTAAGTTCAAGCAGAAATGATACAACTGATGGTGTTACATGAAAG